ACCCTCTCGCCCCACCCAGCGGCCCGCCGCCCTCATCGCCTCCACCCTCTCGACCGATACCGTCTCCACCGCCGCCATCGCCGCCCCCGCCATTTCTGCCTGATCCAAGCCCGCCGCCACCATCTCCACCGCCGCCGACGCCGCCGCCGCCTCCCTCCCCACCTCCGCCCTTTCCGCCGCCGCCATCGCCGCCCTCTCCCTCGCCACCACCTGCGCCACCGCCGCTACCGCCGCCGCCGCCGCCGCCGCCGCCGCCCTCCTCGCCTCAGTCCCCGCCGCTGCCGCCGCCGCCGAAAGCTCCCGCCGATTTTCTAGTTCGCCCCTCGCCGATGGGGGCGGACCGGCTCCTCGAGGTCCCCGTCCTCGCTGTCACGCTCCTCGCCTCGTCGGGCGCCGTCGTCTTGTGCTCGAGGGCGACCGGCCAGCGGGTGGCCGAGGGGCCATACCTGCGCCTCCCCCTCGCCAGCTTGCAGGTGCTATCCGCCTCGCGCGTGCCTTGCACACACACAATTTTGCTGTTGCTGTGACGCTTTCTGTCCGTCGCCTCTGCCCTTCAGGTTGTGGCCGACGTCTTCCTCGCGGCCCACGCCTTTTGGGCCCGAGACATCCTCGGAGCGCTCTGGACCTCTGCCTGGTCCGTCCTCAGCGCCGTGCTCGTCGCATCATGCGCTTTGGCAGGATACGCCGCTCACGTGCTCCGCCGCTCACGACTACCGCCCCTGACCCCCCCTTTATCTGCTCCGCCGCCTTCGCTGCCGCCCTCGCCGCCACCATCTCCGCTGCCCTCGCCTCCAGCCTCGTCTCCGGCGCCACCACAACCTTTGCATCTCAATGGCCCGAAAGGCTCCGCTGGCTGGAGTCTCCCGTTCCGTCTCGCGCGGCGTGCGCCGCCCCCGCTGCCGCGCGACGCCTCCCCGCAGACGCCGTCGTCGACGTCCTCTCTCTCTCAAGAGTCTCGCGAGTCGGCGTTTCGGCAGGCCACGTCGAAGGAGGCTGCGTCGTCAGCCCTCGGCACGGCGGCGACTTGGGCGGCGCTCGCGCTGTCGCCTCTCAACGCTGAGGCACTCTACCTTCTGCCGTGGCGGCGCCGCTCCTACTTCCGCCTCCCCACCCTCGCGATGTGCGTTTGCGTGTCTGCCGTCGCGCTGCTGCACTCGGGAGGCATACTCGTCGTCAGCTTGCAGCTGCTCGCAGCCGCAAACGCCAAGGCCGACGATCTCGACGACGAGGGCCGCCTCGCCGCTGTCTACCTGGCGGTCTACGTCTCCTTGCTGCTTGCGGTCGCGGGGCTACTGCTCCGCGTCGGCCGCCTCTGCGCCATCAGCGCCCGCGCCCTGAACCTGAGCGCAGCGGTGATACGGCCGGCGAAGCTAGGGCGGTTCGCCATGAGGCGCGAGCAGGGCTCGCAGAAAGGCGGGGCTCGGCCGGCGACGGCGGCGGAGGCGCGCGCGCGGGCAACCGCGGCGAGGCAGGAGGAGGCGCGGCTCCTCGAGGAGGCTGCTGCTGCTGCCTCGATGTACCAGGTGCACCTCAGCTGCAACTCGGCCGTCTCTCGGCTATCTCTCAGTCTCCGCCTGTCTCCGCCTCGACGTGCTAGGTCTGCGACGTGCGTGACGAGCTGCTCGCCGCTGCCAACGTTGCGAGGGAGACGGCGGAGCGCGAAGAGGCGGAGGCGGTGCGGCTGGAGGAGCTGGAGGCGGAGCAGGCTGCTGCGGCGGCCAGCAGGCGGGCGAGCGTGGGAGGCCGGGTCTCGCTGCGCGACAGGCGCTCCAGCGGGGTGGTGGCCTCCTGGACGACGACGCCGCAGGGCGACTCGCTGTCTGCGGCGGTCGCGGCCGGGCCTCTGGCTTGCGACGGCATGCTGGCGAGGGCGAAGGTAGCTCGAGACGGGATGGAGGAAGCGCGCGCAAGGGCAGCTGCGGCTCGACGTGAGGAGAGCAGACTCCGGGCCGAGGCTGCCGCCGCCGCGGCGCTGCTGCAGATGTGCGATGTACGGGACGAGCTTCTCGCCGCTGCCAACCTGGCGGCGGAGGCGGCGGTGGGGGAGGATGCGGAGGCGACGAGGCTCGAGATCCTGGTCGAGGAGTACGAGGTGTGCGCTGATGCGGCGGCGGGCGGTATCAAGCGCAGCTCCGTCCGCGATGGGGTGCTCCAGCGGACAAGGGAGGCGCGAGTTGCGGCTGCGGCTTCTCGTGCTGCTGCCGGCCGGGCAGAGTCGACGGCGGTGAAGCTGGAGGAGGGCGCTACCTCCGCCGCTCCCGGCGAGCGCGATGCGGCTCTTGCTCGCGCGCGGGCGGCGCGGGAGGCGGCCGGTCGCGCGTCAGTTGAGGCGCATCGGCTCGAGGCGCTGGCGGCGGCCGCAGAAGCGTCCACCAAAGCCAACGTCTCCGCTGCTGCTGGTGACGCCAGTGACCACCCCGAGTCCTCTCGCCCTCGCGCCGCCGACGAAGCGCGTGCGACCGCCGCCGCTCGCACGCGCGTCGAGGTCGCCCTCTCTGGCGGCGGCGGCGGTAGCGCTGCGGCACAGGCGCAGCGACAGATCGCTGCGGAGACGAGCCGCAACCCCCACGTGCGTGAGGCGGCGGCGCGGCGGGTGGAGGAGGCTAGGCAGCGGGCGCGCTCCGAGCAATCCTCCGAAGCAAGGCTGTCCCAGAGAAACAGCGGCCTCGTCTCGGCGATTGAGGCGCAGCGCCGGTGGCTCACGGACCGGCTGGCGGGACGGCCAGAGCCGGCGGCACCGCGGTGCGCGACACGGCCTCCGAGACACACCTCCGAGACACGCCTCCGAGACCGCCCTTCTGAGACCATATCGTGCGCTCCCGCGTCGATGCAGGCGCGACGTCGACCTCGAGGCCACCGACTGGATGAACGAGGCCGTGCTCGCCGGCAGGTCGTCTGCGGTCCTCCCCGGCATCTCGTCGGCGGCGCAGCGCCTGCCGGCGGACGGCGGTGCAGCAGCAAGCGTGGCGTGGGCAGACGTCGACCAGGCGCGCGAACGGCAAGGCCGCGTGGAGCGGGCGCGCGAGGCCTCCCTGGCCAGGGTAAGGAGCCTCTCCCCCGTGTCTTCGCCACGGCGACTCCGAGCACGCAGCAGCAGCAGCAGCAACAACAACAGATCGTCATCTCGGTCGCCCGTACGCTCGCCCGGTCGGTCGGAGAATAGCCCTGTCTCGCCGATCAGGGGCGCCGTCGCAAACTTGTTTCGCATCTGAGTGACCAAAGTGACGACATTTCCGCTCGGGCCTCGGCATATAATATGTGGTACTAGATGGTATTTTCTTTTTAATGCGACGCCAAACTCATCATCGATCATTGGAACATGATGTCCCGCAGGGCTGGAGCGAAAAAAAGCAAACGAGTGGTCCCGGGGGCGCGGCCTCCCGCTCTCTCAGCAAGAGGGGACACATGGCGGATGGTGGTCGGGCCCTTGCCAGCCCGGCTCTGCCGGCTCAGCTTCAGGCTCCGGCGCCGCGGCGCCTTGCAACTCTGCGATCCGCGCCGCGAGTCGCGCGAGCTCCGCCTGTCGCGCGGCCGTGGCCCTCGGGCAGCAGTACGCGTCAATCTCTTGCCGCAACTGCCGAGCAGCGACCGCCACTGCGGGCCGTTGCGCCGGCGGCAAAACCTACAGCCCAATCCAGACTTCCCCTCCATCCCTCTGGCGAGCTGAGGTGGCGGGGCAGAGGAGGCTGCGCCGCCTGCAGCTGTGCGAGGAGCCTCGCGTGCAGACGCTGGTTGGCGGCGTGGCGCGCCTTGCGGTCGGCGACGCCACGCAATCGCACCTCGATGCGCCGCACCTATTCATTCCGCCGACGCTTTCAGCCTGGGCTGCCTCCCCTACACTTTCGATGCGCCTCGTTTTGTCTTCGTGCGCCTCCTCCTCCTCTGGCAACGTGCCGCCGGAGAGCGGTGACGTTGGCTCGGCCAAGGGCGGACCTCCCGCCGCTGCCGCCCCTCCCGCCGCTGCCACCCCTCTCGCTGCCACCCCTCTCGCCGCCGCCCCTCCCGCCGCCGCCCCCCCCGCAGGAGTAGCGCTGTCGCCGGCTCCGAAGCGCGCGTCCGCACAGCTCGGCGCCGAAGGGAGAGAAGCGCCAAGCCCGCACGGCTGTGGCGAGTGCGAGAGGCAACTCGCTCTGCCGTGCTCGCCCCGCGGCCCGACCGGCTGTCTGACTGTCTGCGGCGAGGGAAACGCGGCGATTCCCCGCCCGGACGCTGGCCAGACTCGCTCCGCCTGCGGTGTCTGCTGCTGCGACGCCTGCTGCTGCGGTGTCTGCTGCTGCGGTGTCTGCTGCTGCGGTGTCTGCTGCTGCGGTGTCTGCTGCTGCGGTGTCTGCTGCTGCAGAGGGCAAGGTGTCGCAGGCGCCGGCGCCAGCTGCCGCTGGACGGCACGCCACTGAAGCAGCTCGCGCAGCGGCGCCGGTTCGGGCACTCGGAGATGCCCCATCCCTTCGGCCGATCCGCCACCCGCGCCGCCACCCGCGCCGCCCGCCACGCCCACCGCGCTGCCCGCCGCCTTGCCCCGCCCCGCGCCCTCGCAGCAATGCGCCTCAGCGCCGTCCGCCGCGCCGTCCGCCGCAAACTGCGGCAGCGGCCGCGGAACGCGCCGCGAGGTGCGGGGAGGCAGCAGCGCCTCCCACGGGGAAGGCGGCGGAGGAGGAGCGACGACTGGGGCGGAGGGAGCAGGGCACGCCTCAGTTCGTGACGGGGAAGGGGCGAGCGTGGCCCTGTCGCCTGGGCCAGACTGTCTCCCGAAACGAGTGGCGGGCGGGAGAGAGGGCGCCGTGGGCGGAAGGATGGGGGTGGGAGGATGGGGGTGGGA